TTTGGAGTGCTCAGAGCGGTATAGTGATTGTTGACATGTTTTGTTTGCAAGCGTCTGACAGTTTCAGTTCTGTTTGTCGCCATACATCAGTTTCAGCTAAATATTCTACTTTTATCACTGCGTTCCCCTATCATTCATATTAAGAACGCGTTTGGTGTTGGTACAAAGTGCGGTGTTGGAGATTTTATTCGTTTGTTAACAAACATCAGCATACCAACCCACACTTCCAGTGTTTATCCGGTAGCATATAATTGTGACACTAACTCCATTTAAAAATGGGCTAATTTCTAAAATGCACAGATACACGCAGATGAAAGTTCGTCTACATTTCCGCAGCAGAGAAATAGTCTTTTTATAGAGTTCATCAATGCCAAATGGGTCAGGAAGTCTCAAGGATTGAACGGCTTCTTCCCGATCATGCGTTAGTTAGTTAACCAGTTGATAGGTGCAGATGGTTCCTTGCTGGTCATGATCAGCCGGCCTACCAGATGTGACGAACGCAGACGGTTCTTATCCGGTTGTACACCGTGGATGAATCAAGTTTGTTAGATAAAAGCGTTTCTTCGTGGTAGCGTGGTTGTCTGTGGGCAGTTCGTGCTCCTCAGGATTTAGTCATTCTGACTGTTCTTCAGATCAGTAGGTTGTCACGTATCGAGATTTAAAGGCCTGTCATATACAGAATCTCAGTTTCTATAACGTCATTCGCGATGACTAAAAGATTGCTCTTGAAAATAAAGTAATGTGAGATTTGCCTGGTGTAAGTACTTAAATTGCATAAATCTTGGACTGTTTTAATAGTCCCGCAGGGCGAGTGGAAGCAACAGAACGGTGAACTGCGCCTGTTAAAATTGGTTAAAATAAGCTTCGAGCATTTATCTGTTTCACTTAACAATTTTTGAAAAGTCTATTGTATTTCTTCTTCTCGAATTTACCCTGTTTTCAACATCTGTACTTTAACAGGTTCTTCAAAACGAAGCATACCGAAGTGCTGCAGGAAGATGGACAAGTACGTTCAAATTCAAGAACTTGTCGACAGACATGTACCTCACGGCTGAGGTAAGAATCTATCTGTGCGTTATGAAAATTTGACATAACTTCTGATGGAAAAAAACTGATTAAATTTTTAAAATTTCATTATGTAGTAGTGCCGATTGTGAAATCAACAGAAGATAAAAATGGCATTGAGCAATTTTGAAAGGCGGAAAATATTGCTGCTGCTGCCTTTGTGGTTAAAGCGGAATGTGTTCGATCAGTGAGTGCTCCAATTTCAAACGTATAGGGGCAGGATGTGGGTTCCAGGCCTGAAAGCTACTCACGAACTGCGGACTGCCAACGCAGCATGGAATGATTCTCGTTAGAAATAACAGGACATTATAATGAATGAATGAACACAAACAAGAGTCTCACAACACAGTCATTATTCCAGTGAAGAACTTACAGTAAGAACCTACCGTCACTTAACCATAGAGGTATAGAACATAAGGTTCCCAAGTAGAGTAACGGTCAGTAGGAAGACCTGTTGATCGATAATCGGATGAGCCGAAAAAATTCGCTGGATCATCACCGATGGAAATGGCAAGAACCAGAAGTCTGTGGCAAAGTCTTGAAGAGGCCTTTATTCAGGGTGAATTTTTAAACGTTGATGATTATTTGACCACAAAAGCCTACTGTATTACGATTGTAGGAGCTTGAATAACAGCTGAACTTGGGTCGAAAGAATTCATGGAATAAAAAATGCTGGAACATAAATGTTACACGACTGTTTTCATAGCATCGTGCTGTTTCATTTGCATGTTATTTTTTGAGGTTAAAACTGGCGCACGACGTCGAAATGAGTCAGTAAATGACGGGTTTTGCATCATCCTTTGATTTCGTTACCTTAAATAATGGCTCAGGAGCAAAGGCCATTAGCTTTGCTTTAAAACTGGTGCCATAAACCTGAAAAGAAAAGGAAGCTACCTATTTTGAAAGACATTTCATAACTTTATAGGGGATAATGAACCATGCATATTGAAAAATGCGTTGAGTGCCTAATGAAACAGATTCTTTACCTTGGTGATTAAATGACGAGCGAAAATGAGCATGGCTGTGCTCTCATTTCCTTATGCGCATTTTCTATTTAATGTTAAATAAAGATAACTTCTACTCGGTTTGTAAAATATCTTGGTTGGTCATTTGTGATGACGTTTTTTACCATGCTTCTTTCTGTTTCAGCTGGAAGGCACAAATAAACAAGGGGGCTTTTATTTCACGAAGGAATTGAAAAAGCGCATCTCAAAGACGACGCCTTCGTCGAGCGACACGCCATGTTGTTTGAGTGCGTGTTTCTGTGAATCTCCTCGCTACCCGAACACGCTGTTCGAACTGGACCCGACGACTCTGACCAAGATGGACGCTTACGTGCCAAGGTGAGGAGGAGTGAAATCATGTCATTTTGCCACTTCGAGTTCATGCCTTCATATGTAGGCAGTCCTACGTGCGGTTGAGACATGCTGAAACTGGTACCTGGGTTCACAGCACATTCGTGAAAATGGATGCAGATGCCGGTGAAGATAGTGTAATGCTGAAGGTAAGAATGTGTTCGCATGTCTGGACGATAATATGTTTGATCAAAAACTTTGAAAGTTGCACAGCTTCGACGTAGGAGTTTCATTCCATGACATAATCTACAGGGAATTTTCTTTTGGCAAAATGCTTCAGCGACGGTTAGCTGACATTTCTGACTGATATCCCTTG